GGGGGATGAAAATATTTTGGAATTAGACAGAAGTGGTGGGTGGACAACACTGTGAATGTACTAAATGCTGCAGAACTGCATGCTCTAAAATGAATTATTTTTTTTAATTTAAATTTTTATTTTTTTAGAGACGGGTTCTTGCTCTGCTGCCCAGGCTGGAGTGCAGTGGCAAGATCACAGCTCACTGTAGCCTCAAACTCCTGGGCTCAACAATCTTCCCCCCTCAGCCTCCTGAGTAACCGAGACCACGGACACAGAAACGTGCCACAGCACCCTGCTCGTTTTCCAAAAATTATTTTGTAGAGATGAGGTCTTGCTATGTTGCCCAGGCTGGTCTCAAATGCCTGGCTAACTCCAGTGATCCTCCCTCCTCAGTCTCCCAAAGTGCTGAGATTATAGGCATGAGTCACTGGGCCTGGCCTAAAATGGTTAATTTTATGTTATGTGAATTTTATCTCATTAAAAAAAGAAGAAAAAATAAAAAAGGAAAATAGCTCCTCTGGGTGATTTCAGTGCATAGCAAAGTTTTAGAACGACTGCACCAAACGATGATCCAAAGTTTGACGTGACCATCTGAGAGCTCCAGGAGGGGAGGAGGGGTCTCTAGGAGCAGGAAGAAAGTGGCTACTTTTGGTGCCCGCCAAAGTCCAGGAGAGAAGCCCAGGGCACACAAGGCTGTCTACTCACCATCTTGGGGGCTGCCTACTGGTCCTCACCCTCAAGGTGGCCGATCTGAAATTGGCCTCTGAATCTCCTGCCCAGCCCCGTCCTCCTGCGGAGCCTGGCAGAGGGTCCACGGCTTCCCTGCGAAGATGTCGTGTGCTGTGCGGCGGTGCCGCCGGCTCAGACGAGACCCCCCTCTGGCATCCAAAGAGCTGTGTGCATCTGTTGAGAGACAGTGTCCTGTGCCCTCTACAGCCAACACGTGTCACACTGGACACTTTCCATCCCTCCACCGTGCCACCCTGGTCCAGGCTCCATCACTGCCCACCTGGACCCCAGTGTGGTCTTCTCTTGTCTCCCGACTCTGTCCTTGACACTCGTTCACCCCATGGCAGCCAGAGGGATCTCTCAAAATTTGAATTGATGCTTCACTCTCCTGCTTCAACCCCCTGCCTCTGAGACTCCTGCCACTTCTGCAGTCAAGCCAAACCCCACAGTCCCCACAGCCTATGAAGCCCCTGCCTGCCTTTCTAAGCCCACCTCTTAGCCCTCTCTTTCTCGCTCACTCTGTTCCGGCCACACTGGCTTCCTGGCTGCCTTCAAAGGCCAAGGGCAACCAGGCCGCCCCTGCCGTTCCTCTGCTTGACTGCTCTTCCACCAGCTGCCTCTCTTTGTTATAGGTGTCGGTTTACACATCACCTCCACCTACAGTCACTCCTTCCTGGCGTTCCAATCATATCACCCTGTGTCTGTTTATCTGTTTCTCCAGCTGGTCCCCGAGAACTGCTAATTGAGTGAACAACTGAAATAACTGGTAAGAGTTTCCGTAAGAACCAGTGCAGGTGACACAGACATCAAATGCAAGGGCTCTTTAACCTGGAGGTGGGGAGACCCCTCCCATGTCTGGAAAAGACACTTTTAGGAGAAATGTCTAAAGTAGAAGGAAGTTCTAGTTTACACTAAAGAGAAGCACTGTGGGGCACTGAAGCGTATTCTAGAATGGGGAATGGCAAATTTTCAGTCAAGGGCTAGAGAATAACCATCTGTGGCTTTTTGGGCCAGACTCTTTCAGTCCAAACAACTCAACTCTGTCCTCGTAGCTAGAAAGCAGCCCCAGACAATATGTAAAGTGAACAGGCATGGCTGCATTCCAACAAAATCTTATTTAAGGACACAGAAATTTGAATTTCACATAATTGACACCTGACACAAAATATAATTTTCCTGCTGATTTTCCCTAAGCCATGCAAAAATTTAAAGCCAGTCTCAACTTCACTGCTGTACAAAACTCAGGGGATGGGCGGGTTTTGGACTGCAGGCCTAGCTCACCAGTCCTTGTTCAAGAAGCAGGAAGCCTGGTCTCTGATTAGCTTTCTATCAAGTTACCTGAACACTCTAACATTTACTGCATGCCAGGTGCCGGGAAGAGTCTGACATAACTGCTTCATTTAGTCTGAATTATGTTATCATTCTTTCCAGGTGACAAATGAGGACATTGGGGGCTTAAGTCCCTTGCACAGCATCAGAAGCTGATGGTAGACCATCTGATGGAGTGGGGTGGGTGGTGGTGCAAAGCCCCGGATGTCAACTCTTCCCCTACCACCCCGAACCTCTCTTCGTCTTGGACCCGCCATCTGTAAAGTGTGCCCCTTGGATCGGATTTTTCTAAGGTACATTCCAATCTAAAAATACTTTTGCCAACAAAATAGCTGAGTACCCTCCAAGGCTTTTGGGGGTCCCAGCTCCGTGGGCTTAAGTCCCAGCTCCATTCATCAAGCTGGGTCACCCTGGTCACTATCTGCGCTTCCCTGAGCTCCCATTTCCTCATCAAATGAATATGACAGGATGGACTTTCTAGGGTTGCTGTGAATGAAATTAACACACAGGAAGTGCTCGCACGGAGTAAATACCCAGTTTACAGGACCTTGGGGGTGTGTGTGTGTGTGTGTCTTAAGATGATTTTACTACCCAACAGTGAATGGCAGAGGGGACTACAGGGTGGATGTATAGAAAAATCTCTGGTCTTCCGTGTCAAGGGTAATTGTTGACCTCATTTGTCCACGGTTTGCAGCTTGCGTTTGGAATTCTACCTACTCTGTGGCTTCCCAGCTGCGTGACTTTGGGGGCAAACTGTTTGCCCTCTCCGAGCCTCACTTTCTGCACCTGTACAAGGTTTGTAAGGTTTATAAAGGAAGGTTTATAAAAGTATCAACCTGTTAAGGCTGCTGTCAAGATCAGGCTTGGTCCCAAACACTTGCACTTACAGACATCGAGTAAAAACGTTGGCAGTCTGGTTTTACCTCTCGCCCACCGTCTTAAAGCATCATTTTACAGACTCTTCACCACAACCCGGCGAGGTAGGGGCTTATGGGTCCCATTTTCCAGAGGAGGAGACCCGGGGGCCCTTCAGGCCGGGGCCCCGGCACTTGGGTCGGGGGTCGCCGGTGGGACCTGGGCCGTCCCTGGGCGTCTAGGTCGCGTCCTCAGAGACCTGCGTCCCCCGAGGCACCCGCCCGCACCGGGTGGCTCCGGGGGTCGGGGTGAGGAGGCCGCCTGAGGCCGCAGCCCCACAACGCCGGCCCGCACTTACCTGCCCTCCTCCCGACGACGTCACGCCCCGACCGTGCCCGGAAGTGCGCGCCGGGAGCGCAGGGAAGCTTGGCGCCCTCTCCGCGTGACTGGGACGCCGGCGCGAGGCGGGGCGAGGCGGCAGCGGACGGACTGATTGGCTGAGCGCCGAAGGGAGGCGGGCTCTAGGCGCTGCACAGGACCAATCCCAGACCGCTCCTCCCAACCGCGCTCGCGTCACGAAGCCCCGCCCTCCGCCACGCCCCCTGCGCGAGACCTAATCCCAGGCCCGCCCCCTGACACCGCCCTCCCGGGAGGGGCATGAGCGCTGGAGCGGGCCAGCGAGTTCCTGCAAACTGCAGCCCGCGGGCCAAAGCAAGCCAGCCCGCTGTATTTTGGGATGATTTGTTACACAGTCATGGATAACACATTGTCAAAACCAGCTAGGCTTTAATTAGTTTCTTTGTGCTGGCTGGAGGCCTCTGGTTTTTCTAGATTTCTGTGTATTCCAGAAGCTCCAGGAACCTTTTTTTCTCTAAGAGATGGGGTCTGGCTCTGTTGCGCAGGCTGGACTGCAGGGGCTGTTCACAAGCACGATCATGGTGCTCTGTAGCCTCAAACTCCCAGGCTCAAGTGATCCTCCTGCCTCAGCCTCCTGAGTAGCTGTATACATGCCACCGCACCTGGCTTCAGGAATCATTTTTGAACACAATAATTTTGGGTAATACAGTCTCCAACGCTCAGGATCCTACTGACTGCATGGGTAGGTGCTAATAATTCCCAGTCATTTAGTGTTAACGGCTAGCATGGAATCCTCTTTTATTTTTATATTCCTGGAGTTCTGAAAAAGTCAGTAATAAAGGATGCTTGGTAAAACATACTAAACACACTTAGTACTCCGTCCCAGGCCAAGATTTAGGTCATTGTGAGTCCCAACAATTATAACCCCAAATAGGGCATTGAAAAGCATCGTGTAGATTACAGTGGAGAGAGATGGGATTATTGCTACGGGAAAAAAAAAAAATCACTGTATGCCTTAGTCATCACTGTGGGATTCTGACCCAAACTCTAATTAAGGTGATAACTCCCTAGTCTTCTTCCTCCCTGTTTTATGCAGAGTGTCCTCTTATTCGCTGCCTTGACAAAGAAGCTCTGTCTCTGCCTATGGGTCATCCTGGTGCGTCAACTGTTAGGGGCACGGTTTCAGGAAGGGTAGATGCTCCCCACTGGCCGCCAACCGGGCTTCAATTCAAGTTTCTTTTTTTTTTTTGAGACAGAGTCTCGCTTTGTTGCCCAGGCTAGAGTGAGTGCCGTGGCGTCAGCCTAGCTCACAGCAACCTCAAACTCCTGGGCTCAGGCGATCCTCCTGCCTCAGCCTCCCGAGTAGCTGGGACTACAGGCACGCGCCACCAGGCCGGCTAATTTTTTCTTATATATTAGTTGGCCAATTAATTTCTTTCTATTTATAGTAGAGACGGGGTCTCGCTCTTGCTCAGGCTGGTTTCGAACTCCTGACCTTGAGCAACCGCCCGCCTCGGCCTCCCAGAGAGCTAGGATTACAGGCGTGAGCCACCGCGCCCGGCCTCAAGTTTCTTAACTGGTGCCAAAGAACGTGATTTTCTTTGCTTGAGCCCAGGAGCCTGAGGCTGCAGTGAGCTATGATAACACCACTGCACTCAAGCTGGGGCAACAGAGCAAGACATGTCTCAAAAAAAAAAAAAAAAAAAAAAGGTACGCTGCACCACTGAGACAATGGAGTGCCATATGTTATGTGAGTGCATGTGATTTATATGGATAAGCATATCCATTTATTTTATGGTTTTATCCAGCAAAGGAATTTAACATAAAAAGAAACTTCTATGAGGTAAGCAATCAGTCAAAGGAGTTTTAAACACAAGTGAAGGAATGGGAACCAAGAATTCGGAAGAAAAATGAATCCATGAATGATGATCTGTGATGGTGATGATGTCATAATGGTGATGATGTCATAATGGTGATGATGTCATAATGGCGATGGTGTCATTCCACCTGACTTTTCATCACCCTGTCCTCTCCACTTCTTATGTTCATCCACTGAAATGTCCCCAGGGCCCAAGGCCATGGTGAAGAGGAAACTTCCCAAGACAGACATTGAATGCAAAAAGTCATAGTACATGGAGTGGTGGAAAGGTATGTTTTGGGGGACAGTCAAGAAGGCACCATGGGCCTTTTTGGTTGAGAGGAAACATCTGGATCACAAGAATCAAGACAGCTTGATCTTGAACCCAATGGCTACCAGGATGTTCAGTGCCCAGGGGCAGATGCCCTAGAGTTTTGGATGGGGGAGAACTAGAAGAGTGATATCATTCCAATGGTTTTGTCCATAAGAAGAGCTAGCAGCACTTTATTGGCATTCACTAAGCCTTTTAACTTTGGAAAACTGTACCATTTGTATTATTTCCTAAGGGGCATGGGTTACAGTCTGGAACTGTACAATAGGGGAGTTACCAGCCACATAGGGCTACTTAAATTTTTTTTTTTTTTTTTTTTGAGACAGAGTCTCGCTTTGTTGCCTAGGCTAGAGTGAGTGCCATGGCGTCAGCCTCGCTCACAGCAACCTCAGACTCCTGGCTCAAGCAATCCTGCCTCAGCCTCCCAAGTAGCTGGGACTACAGGCATGCGCCACCATGCCCGGCTAATTATATTAGTTGGCCAATTAATTTCTTTCTATTTATAGTAGAGACGGGGTCTCGCTCTTGCTCAGGCTGGTTTCGAACTCCTGACCTCGAGCAATCCGCCCGCCTCAGCCTCCCAGAGAGCTAGGATTACAGGCGTGAGCCACCACGCCCGGCCCGGGCTACTTAAATTTAAACAAAATGAAATAAAATGAAAAATCTCAACCCTCAGAGTCACTGGTCACGTTTCAAGTTCTCAGTTGCAGCACAGAGCTGGTCTAGAAGTCAATAGGAGAGTTAAGCAGCAGGGATTTATACAGAGGATGGCCACGGCTTCACCAGCAGGAGGCAGTACTGAGAAGTGGCCTGATGGCCCCTTGCTGAAGAGGTCATTTTAAGAGCCAAGCAGTCACTGCACTTCCTCTGTCTGCTGCTCTGCCTGGCTTGCCCATAATTTGACTACATTCCAAGGCATCTGAGTAGATTTGTTTTGGTTTTTTTTTTTTTGTTTTTTTTTTTGAGACAGAGTCTCGCTTTGTTGCCCAGGCTAGAGTGAGTGCCCTGGCGTCAGCCTAGCTCACAGCAACCTCAATCTCCGAGGCTCAGCGATCCTACTGCCTCAGCCTCCCGAGGAGCTGGGACTACAGGCATGCGCCACCATGCCTGGCTAATTTTTTGTATATATATTTTTAGTTGGTCAATTAATTTATTTCTATTTTTGGTAGAGACGGGGTCTCGCTCAGGCTGGTTTCGAACTCCTGACCTTGAGCAATCCGCCCGCCTCGGCCTCCCAAAGTGCTATGATTACAGGTGTGAGCCACCACGCCCGGCCTGTTTTGGGTTTTTTTTTGAGACGGGGTCTCACTCTTGCCCAGGTTGGAGTGCAGTGGCACCATGATAGTTCACTGCAGCCTTGAATTCCCAGGCTCAAGTGATCCATCCTGCCTTAGCCTCCCAAGCAGCTAGGATTATACATGTGTGCCACCATGCCGAGCTAATTAAAAAAATTTCTTTTTGGTAGAGACAGGGTCTCTCAGTGTTGCCCAGGCTGATCTTGAACTCCTGGCCTCAATCTGTACTCCCACCTTGGCCTCCCAAAGTACTGGGACCACCATGTCTGGCCATCCAGGTGGCTCCGACAACTTCCTCCCATGTAGCTTGTGAGGGAAGATTTCAAGAGGATGAACTCCGGAATTTCAGCAATGGTGGAACTAACTCTAAGTGAAGGGGATGGGGAAATTGATTTCAGAAGCCAAAGGTTGAGGGGTCACGTGTGCTGAGTTTTGAGTGAATGTGAGAAGGGGAAGCTCGTCGAGGTGTGTGAGTCATTTCCTCCACGGACGGTCATTTCCAAGTCCAGAAGTGAGAAGAACGCAGAGAGGCGGAATCCTTCCTCCCGGCTGCACGCACAACGAAGGAAGACATTCTGCACCATGGGAAGTCCGATCAACTGACTTCGCGCTCAGCCTGGTCTCTCCTAAGAGGAACAGCGGCCCATGGCTGAGAGCAGCACCCTTGGGAAGGTGGGAAGGAGGAAATGGACAGAGACAAGAAATTACCCACAATGCGCTTCGGTGAGGCCAACGCGATGAGCCCGGATGTTATTTCACAGGTTGAACAAATGGCTGGGAGAGACAAAAACATGAGGGTTCCTCCTGGTTACTGGAAACTGGTTAAATCCACAGTCCTGCTGCAGCAAAGAAAGGAGAGGCAGAGAAATAGGGTGACGACTTCAAGGCAACCCAAACTCTTCTTTTTATTTTTAAAATTTTTTATTTTATTTTTTTAAACTCCAAGACTTCCATGGCATCCACACTCTTTCTTTTCCTTTTGACAGAGTGAAGGGCAAGGATAGTGAGATGTTACGAGAGACAAATCCGATTGATAATTTGTCAATTATACATTGATAATTTTACAATTTGATAACTTATTTTATCTTTACAATGTATTTTTTTCTATTAACCCAGAAAAGAAGTTTTCTTTTTTCTTTTCTTTTTAAGAGACAGTTTCACTCATGTTGCCCAGGCTGGACTCAAACTCTTGGGCTCAGGTGATCCTCACACCTCAGCCAGAGTAGCTAGACCCAGCAAACCAGAGAAGATGGTTTCTTTCTTTCTTTTTTTTTTTTTTGAGACAGAGTTTTGCTTTGTTGCCCAGGCTGGACTCAAACTCTTGGGCTCAGGTGATCCTCACACCTCAGCCAGAGTAGCTAGACCCAGCAAACCAGAGAAGATGGTTTCTTTCTTTTTTTTTTTGAGACAGAGTTTTGCTTTGTTGCCCAGGCTAGAGTGAGTGCCGTGGCGTCAGCCTCGCTCACAGCAACCTCAATCTCCTGGGCTCAAGCGATCCTCCTGCCTCAGCCTCCTGAGTAGCTGGGACTACAGGCATGCGCCACCATGCCCGGCTAATTTTTTCTATATATATTAGTTGGCCAATTAATTTCTTTCTAGTTTTAGTAGAGACGGGGTCTCGCTCTTGCTCAGGCTGGTGTCGAACTCTTGACCTCGAGCAATCCTCCAGCCTCGGCCTCCCAGAGTGCTAGGATTACAGGCGTGAGCCACCGCGCCCGGCCAGAAGAGGGTTTCTATAGCAGACAGACTCCATGGTGGCCCTCAGATCCCTGCCTTCTAGTGTTTACCCTGTATAAATCTCCTGTCCTTGAGTGTGGGTGGGGCCCGGTGACTGACTAATAGAGTATGGTAAAGGTGATGGTGGATATGTCATTAGGTGCATGTAAATATACTACACAACACTGTGATATTCATCTGGTTAGGAGATTCTCTCTCTTGCTGGCTTTGAGGAAGTCGCTGCCATGCTGTTAGCTGTCTAAAGAGAGGGCCACATGAAAAGAAAGCGCAGAGCCAGCAAGAAACTGAGGCCTTCAGTCTGATACTCCGAAAAGAAGAGGAATGCTACCAATAACCACTCAAGCTTGGAAGCACAGCCTTCCCCAGTTGAGCCTCAGATGAGAGCACAGCCCCCGGGCAACACCTTGAGTGCAGTGAACCCAGTTAAGCTGCACTGAGACCCTGGCCCACAGAAACTGTGACGTAATAAACATACCTTGCTTTAAGCCACTATGTTTGTCGTAGTTTGTTATACAGCAGTAGAGAACTAATACAGTTTCTTTCCCAGGGTATGAGGCAACATGTAATGAAAGCAACCTGCACGATGGGTTTTTGAACCGAATGCAGGCAAAGCACAAAACTCAATTGCAGGACTATATGTTTGCATCTGTAAGACTCCAATGTGACTGGGACGGCACTTGGGTTTCTCGGTTATGCAAAGGACTGTACAAAAAAATCCTCTTCCTGGTGCAAGCCTGAAAGAAGAGAGGACAGGCCCAGGGCCCAAGTGAGTCGCTCCTCCAGCCACCAGGAACTGAGCACAAGGGAGCGCCGAGATACTGACCCTCCAGAGAAGGCACAACGAGAGACCTGCCAAAGAGATCAAGTTCAGCGTCACACCTCCACTTGCTAGCCGCTTCACCTGACTATTCTGTAGCTAAAGCCCTTTGCTGAAACAAAACCCTCAAAGGGAACATTTGTTTACAAATACCCATTTCATGTGTGCCAAGATGACGGTGGTAACACAAAGGGCTTTCAGTCCACACAGGGTAGTGAAAGCTGCTTATTTGGCCTGGGTATATAAATAGAGGAGGACGACGGGGCTGGATTAAACAAGAGAGAGAACCTCCCTTCCCAGTTGGGGAAGGGCACCTTGAAGCCACTGAGACCCCATCATGCTTTGCGGCTCTGGAACAGGAAGAAAACGTAACAGAGGTCTTTACCTCAAAGAGCTCAAAGCCACCTGCCATCTGTGTGCCGCCTCCAAACAACAATACATAGAAATCAGGCATTGATTTTGTTTTTTTGTTTTGGAGACAGGATCTTGTTCTGTCTGCCAGGCTGGAGTGCAGTAGCACACTCATAGCTCCCTGCAACCTTGAATTCCTGGGCTCAGGTGATCCTTCTGTCTCAGCCTCCCGAGTAGCTGGGACTGCAGGTGTGCACCACCACGCCGGGCTAATCTTAAATCTTTTTGTAGAGATGGGGTCTTGTTATGTTGCCCAGGCTGGTCTTGAACTCCTGGGCTCAGGCGAGCATGTTGTCTTATCCTCCCAAAGTGCCCGGGTTACAGGTGTGAGCCACTGCTTCTGGCCTCAGGCACTGCTTTTATTCCACAAGGTTCAAAGGGCTTTTAAAGGGGTTTGTGCCTTTATGGGGCTGGGAAATCTGGATTCTCAGGAGTAGCTGGGTTCTATTCTTGGCAGGATTGCTTGTTTGCTATTTTAGGTGACCTGCTGCGCAATGGGATAGCTTTGACAATCTCTTGCAACTTCACTGTTCTTGAAATTTGAGGAGAGAGCGAGGAAGTGGAGATACAGGGATACTCATAGCTAGCATTTCTGGTTTTTCTAAAAGCCTCTGAATAACTCGAGGCTTTATTGCTTATGGCTGGGGGGAGGCCAGGAATGCTGCCCCCATTGCCAACACAGATGCCACAAGGTAGGCATTTCCTGTTCGCCTGGTGGCTTTGTGACAGGGGTCCTTTATTCACCACTAAGTGTCCACAAATCCATGGTTATACTTCATAGCCCTCTGATGTCCCTTAAAAACAGATGAGTCTGGCTGGGTGCAGTGGCTCACGCCTATAAACCCAGTATTTTGGGATGCTGAGGAGGGAGGATCGCTTGAGGCCAGGAGTTCAAGCCCAGCCTGGGCAACATAGTGAGACCCTCTCTCTACTGAAAAAAAATGAGCTGGGTGTAGTGGCTTGTACCTATAGTTCTAGCTACTTGGGAGGTTGAGGCAGGAGGATCACTTGAATCCTGGAGTTTGAGATTACAGTGAGCTGTGACCATATCACTACACTCCAGTCTGGGCAATAGAGCCAGACCTGTCTTATAAAAACAAAAGCCTCCCCCAAACCTGATGCACCTGAAGGAAACAGGGATGATGTGAGCAAGGGTCCCAAAGTCAGTCACAAATAGGCGGATCAGAATTTGGGCTACCACTTGCTTTGGTCCTGGCTTGCAGCCTTCAAGTCTAAGACAGGTTGAGAAACTTTCTGTAGAGCCAAGGGGTAAATATTTTAGGCTCTGTGGACCAGTCTCTGTAGCAACCACTCAGCTCTGCCTTGTTGAATGAAAGCAGCCAGTGACAATATATAAACGTATGGACCAATAACAAAACTGCGTTTCCAAACTAGGCGCACTGGCACGCCTATAGTCCCAGCTACTCAGGAGGCAAGGGCGGGAGGATCGCTTGAGCCAGGAGTTTGAAACCAGCCGGGGAGACATAGCAAGTCTGTCTCAATAAAAACAAACAAACAAAAAAAACTGAATTTCCAAAACCAGGTGGTTGGCTGCATAGCTTGCCGAGCTGGGGCCTAAGGGATTAAGATGAAAGCTTTATCTTAGGATACAAGTCTGACTCGCAATCAGAACATGCAAAGCTGCTGGGACACGATGCTGGGACAGCCTGTGTCTGAACCCTGGTCCTCAACTTCAGATTCAGAAGTTTGAACTCGGGCTGCAACAGTTACGAGCGAACTATTGTAGGACTCAATTTCATCACTTATCAACGGAGATGACGATCTTTATACCTCAGCAGGTTTCACAGGATGACACTGGGAAGGTACCTAGCACGATGCCTGGTGCTGAGTATGGATTTCCTCAACACGTCCGACTGTTCTGACTTACCTGCGTGAAGGTGATGCTTCCAGACAGCAAACCACGGGCATGTGGAACAAGCTTCTTGGATAAGGCCAGGATGCAACAGGGCAGGGGTGAGGGCAGGAATCAGGATTACGGCCCAGGGAACTGCCTCCTCCCCGATCCGTAACACGAGGCCCCATCACATCACAGGCTCTCACCCAAGTCCCCAGATACATAAAACACGGCCGGAAAGAAGCACAAACTCCTCCTGCCCCCAAACTAATCAATTCCTTCTTCCTCTGCCACCAGGAACACATAAACACTGCCCTCCCTCTAGAACCCAGATGGTTTGCAAAATATTTAGATTCACTTTGTTTCTTAAATACTCCACGTACCCTTTACTCACACTCATTCATTCGTTTGTTCACTCATTCATTCATTCACTTAGTCAACATATTTATTGAGTGCTACTAGGTGCAGAGCTTAGCTCTAGATGCCGGGTATGCGGCGATAAACACAACAGGCAGCCCCTGCTCGCCAGAGCGTACGTTTTAGCAGGTTCAGCTTGGATCATCCCAGGGCAGACCACTCTCTATGGGCAATATCCCAATTCCTTATTTCAAGTTCCTGCTCCTTCTGGGTAAGACGTAGACGCTTCTCGCCCATTATCCCAATCCGGCACCTGCAGAGCACACGGGAGGGCAGGTGAATGCTGAAGAAACTTAATTACAGGGATGAACTTCAGCTTTTTGTATGAATATTAGCCAGGTCAGAAGCACCGATGTAAAGACCTGGACTACTCCTATAATTTAACCACCACATCACAGAGCACTTTAAAAGGCCAGTTTTTAGTTTTATTTTATTTTTCCTCATGCAAACACCAGGGTGTCTTGTGCTTAAACACCATAATTTCCCATAAACAAGCCCCTGCCACTCCTGTGTTAAACACCACCATAATTTACTTGTTAGAATCGGGAATAATAATGAGTTTGTCTGAGTGCTAACAACAGCCTGGAAGAACAGACTCTGAAAGGTGTGTTTAGGGGGCCAGGCTGGGAGGCTGAGAAAAAGAACAAAAGACATGTGGAGGTGAAGAGGGCACCAGGGGAGAGGCTGGGTGGCTTAAATAACTTCCGTGGGGAGGGGTGTGGGCATCGTGATACAATCTGGGCATTTCTGGGCCCTTAGAAATCACCTCAACATCTTCATTTGACGCAGGGGAAATAAAGACCAAGGAAGTGACAAGGTCACAGAACTTGTAATGGCAGACTTAGGGACGGAAGCCAGGTCTCCTGATTCTTGGCTAAGGCTTGTTGCCCTGAGTTGAACTGCCCATTACAACCACCCATTGTGTTTCACGTAATCCAATCAATCCATATAATCAGGTCAACTAGTTTCCAGAACATATTTTAAGAATCTCCACGGCTGGGCGTGGTGGCTCACGCCTGTAATTCTAGCACTCTGGGAGGCTGAGGCAGGATTGCTTGAGGCTAGGAGTTCAAGACCAGCCTGAGCAAGAGTGATATCCTATTTCTACAAAAAATAGAAACAATTAGCCGGGTGTGGTGGCTCATGCCACCTGAGGCAGGAGGCTCGCTTGAGCCCATGAATTCCAGCCTGGGCAACAGAGTGGGGCTCTAAACAAACAAAGGAATCTCTACAGTGAGAGAATTAATATACTAATATATACTTTCTGGCAGAGAACAATGGTTAAAGGATTCAAATCTATTTAGTGACAACTAACAGATTCATCTGTCTTTAAATTTTCGGCTCTAGCTCAGTGGTTCTCAACAGGTGCCATCTTGCCTCCGGAGGACACCTGGCAATATCTGAAGACACTTGTGGTCGTGACAACTTGAGTTGGGAGGGGAGTGTTCATGGCATCTCATGAGTACGGGTAAGATACGCTGCTCAACTTCTGTGCTCAGAGACATCTCCCTACTACAAAGAATGATCTGGCCCCAAATGCCAAGGATAAGCTCCATCGGAGGCACGGGCAACCAAAACGGGCTCAGGTTGGACAGGACGCTTGACCACGATGGGGATGCCACGTGGGCTGAAGAATCTGCCAGCAAAGGTGTTGTTTCAAAAGGTACACCACCTTGAGCTCCTAAATCCAACACCTTTCCCATCACATTTATAGTCCGGAGGGTGTTGGGGGCATTCTGGGCATTCTGTTTCTTGTCCGCCTTCCTCCTGCCCACCCTCAACATTTAAATATAACCGGGGCAGCCCTGGAGGCACAAAGGCTCGTCCCGCCCCAGGAGTCTCCGGTGGGGGTCACCCCGGGGTGGCTCCCTTCTCCTCCATGTTCCGCCCGAGCCCCTTGGGTGGGTCACTTAACTTTCCTGGACCTCAGTTTCCTTCCCTGTAAAGTGAGGAGAATTAAAAAAGCAAGTTTTCTGAGCTTTTTCGTAACTGGCTGTTACGCATTCATTTTCTTTTTTTTTGGCCGCCTCCTCGGGCTGTTGTGGGGGTCCCTTCACCCACCACTCCCACCCGGAAGGCCTGCGGAGCGTTCACCACGGAGCCTGCCCTGCTCCGGGTTCTCTAAAATTTCTCAAAGCCGCCTCTGAGGTGGAGGCTGTGAACCGTCTTCTCTACAAGCGGGGAAACTGAGGCTGGAAGGACCGCGGAACTGGACCACGGATCTCAAACCTTTGAGGGAGAGGGCTGGTCTGGAAGGCGAAGGTCCTCTCCAGGGGCCCCCGTCAAGGGCGCTGAGCACCAACTAGGCGCCCAGACAAGCTTCTCATCGTTTCTGGGCCCCTCGGATCCCGATTCCCCGCTCCGCCAGGTTCTCAGCGTGTGCGCGCAGGAGCCACGGGGAGGCTGAGGGGCAAGCCGCAGGACGAGGCGCATGCGCGAACGTGCGCGCGGAGGCCTGCGGGAAGATGGCCGCGCGCTCGAGGCACCCGCCCCGACGCCGGCGCGGTTGTCAGGGCGACCGGGGCGGGGCGGGGCCAGAAAATGGCCGCGCATTGGTTCACTAATGGCCGTTTGCTTCAACTGGGGGAAACTTCTTCGGGTTCTTTGTGGCCCGTTTGCTCGCTGTCCGGTTGCACAGGAGCTGACTTTCTAGCCCCAGGAGTGTGTTAACCAAGCATCCCAGCCATGATTAGGTGCCGGCGGAGACCACTTTAAAGAACTCCCAGTATCCATCCGGTTTGCATACACACGCCATTTGTTTTTGTTTTTTTTTTTCCTTTTCTCTTTCGCCTTTGAGCACTTTATACTTTATTAGCGGCATCTATCATTTGTCTGACCTCGCCGGCCAGATCTTGCTTAGACAAAATCGCGAATCTGGGTTTTGGAGAAAAGACTCAGCGATGGCTAATATCATTAGGAAGGCATTCTTTACTGAAGGGCTCACAGCCGGATTTCTTTAAAATAGAAAACTTCCTTAGTGCACTGAAAACGGTTCATTTTATATAAGATTCATTTAGATACCAGGCTCTACCCTCCTATTTTTTCTTTTCTTTTTTTTTTTTTGCATACAGACGTAGTCAGGGGCGCTGTGCATTTGCAGGTTGTGCCCTGAGCAAGGGTGCCTGGCTGAGGGCATGGGAATGGGGCTGAAATCCAGCCCAGGCTGCGTTCCCCAAGCTGGAGGACGGGGCGTATTCTTCTAGTGCATCTATCAGAGGCGGAGCTTTATTCTATTCGCATAAAATTTCCTTGTGTGCCAGCTACCTTTTTGCACACAGTACTTTTTGCAGCGTCGAAAATATAATCCGATCCAGTTAGGAAAAGTTTTAAAGTTTACTCTCATGTAAAAAGTACACGTCGAGATCTGGTAGGCTTCAAATTGTTACAGCGTTACCAGGTTCATTGTCCACTGCTCAAGAGGAAGCCAGTACCCGGAGACAGCAGGGGTTACAGCAGAGAAAGAGTTTAATATCGCAGGTGCCACACGAGGAGACAGAAGGAAGTTCTCAAATCTGTCTCTCGGAGAATTTTGGGGGGAAAGGCGAGTCAGTTCCTTGGTATGGGTCACTGGTCTGGGTGGGCCAGCCCATCCACTGGGATGCAGGGCCTGGAAGGCACCTCAAAAACTAGCCTTAGGTCTCACTAGGGCGATGTTATCTATGGGAGTAATTAAAAGAGTGAAGAATCTTTATGAACATCAGCCATGTGACTCTGGAGTAGCAATTATAGAAAAGCAAACTAGGGGACAATGGCTGGTTGTAAACATATTTTAACTGTGCCTATACCTTTACAGAGTTCAGGCCGTTACCGAGTTGAGCCACGCAACCTACCGAGGCGCGAGAGTTAGGAAGAAGGAAGGAAGAAGGAGGAGGGAGGGGAGGATGGAGGAGGGAGGAGGAGGAGAAGAAGGAAGAAGAGGAGCAAGGAGGAAGAAGGAAGGAAGGAGAGGAAGGAAGGAGGAGATAGTCTTGTACACAACAACAGATATAGCATGATGTCTTAGGTGGTCCCTAATCCAAAGAAGTGTCGTTTTGTTGCTTGTTTGAGAAGGTATGGCTCTGTGCAATGGCATAATCATAGCTCACTGCGTCCTTAAAACTCCTGGGTGAACCATCCTCCGACTGACAGCTTCAGAGGTAGCTTGGGATTAACAAGTGCACCACTGCCTGCTGATTCGTGTCTTTATAAGAAGAGGAGACAGCAGAGAGAGCCAGAAGGAAGAGGGCTATGTTTCGTGAAGACAGCAGATTGAAGTGACGCTGCCTGCAAAGCCAAGAACCCAGGGGCTACAGGAGGAGAGGAAGGAAAGATGGGCCTTCCTTAGAGGCTTCAGAGAGAGCATGGCCCTGCCAGCACCTTGATTTCAGACTCCTGGCCACCGGAACTATGACAGAATAAATTTCTGTTGTGCCGGCGCGGTGCTTGTCATGCCTGATAATCCTAGCACTCTGGGAGGCCGAGGCGTGTGGATGCTCAGGTCCAGGAGTTCAAAACCAGCCTGACAAGAGTCGAGACCCCGTCTCTAAATATAAATAGAAAGAAAATTAATGCCCTAATATATATAGGGAAGAATGAAGCCCCGGGGGCATGGTGGCACAATGCCTGTATTCCCTAGCTACTCGGGAGGCTGAGGCAGGAGGATCGCTTGGGCCCAGGAGTTTGAGGTTGCTGTGAGCTAGGCTGACGCCACGGCACTCACTCTAGCCTGGGTAACAGAGCGAGACTCTGTCTCAAATAAATAAATAAATTAATTAATTTCTGTTGTGTTCAGCCACTCAATCCGTGGCAGTTTGTTATGGCAGCCCTTAGAAATGAACACAACGGCAGAGCAAGAGAATGACAAGAATTTATGTCCCAAGTAACCAAACAGAAAGGAGCTGGGAAGTTACCTGAGAAAGGGTCAGAGTTGGATGTTCTTTAAACTGTTACATTTTTGGGTCTCTATTAGAGCAGCTTAGTTTTTTTTTTTTACCCTGCGGAAGGACTTCATGACATTGAACGCTGACGTTTCTTTCTCCCAAAAGCCACCTCCTCACCTTCCTCTTTTGCTCCTTTTGGTTTTGGAAAGTTCACTTGCTCCTGTCTTGGAATATCCCTGTTGGCTGTTGTCGCTTTGGGACTGGCTGTTTTGGAATGTTGCTTTCGAGGGAGAAGGGTGGAAGTTATAAGAGATGTATGTGACAAATTTGGCATCTTGTAACAGCAACAGGATTACTGTTTTTTTTTTTTTTGAAGATTTTAGAGAAAGCAGCATGAATCAACCTCAATTATTTGTAAGTAAAATTAGAGTAGTTTCAAGCTGTTGCTTTTCTCTGTCCTACACACGTTATTCAAATAAGTTGGCGGAAGAATGTTGTTTTGGTTTACATTAGGGACTTTGGGGACATAAATTTGGGTCTAAATTAGTGACATTTAAAACAGAAAATCCTTTAACTCTTTGAGGCAGCATAGTGTTGTCGTGCCCAGAGCAGTTTCCAGTGCTGGGTTGTTTGGTTATCTCTGCTACTTCCTGGCTGTGTGGCCTTGGGAGAACTCCTTAACTTCTCTGTGCCTCATTCTCCTCATCTGTTAAATGGAGATTGTCTTAGTTTGTGTTCCTCCCAGACAAGTGACCCTCCCACCTCGGCCTCCCAAGTAGCTGGGACTATAGGTGTGCAGCATTATGCCTGGCTAATTTTAATTTTTTTTTTTTTAGAGATCGGGGTCTTGCTGTGTTGCCCGGGCTGGTCTCAAACTCCTGGGCTCAAGTGATCCTCCTGCCTCAGCCTCCTGAGTAGCTGGGACTCCAGGTACATGCCATCACACTCAGCTAATTTTTCTATTCTTTTTTTGTTTTTGTAGGGATGGGGGTCTTGCTATGTTGCTTAGGTTGATCTAAACTCCTGGCCTCAAGTGATCCTCCTGCCTCGGCCTCCCAAAATGCTGGGATTACAGATGTGACCCACCATGCCTGGCCTGAATTGCATTTGGTTGTCATGTTTCCTTCATCTTCTTCAGTCTGTGACAGTTCCTGTGTTTGTTTCAGTAAAATCCCAGGACAACATAGAGAAACCTCCCCTCAAAGTGGGAAGGGAGTCGAGAGACCAAAGAATGACTCAGACAAGTCCAGCTTGGTGTGTTAGATGCGCTTCTTAGAGGTCACTTAGAAGGGCTCTTGCTCCGGGGCGGCACGGGAAATTTCTCCCACAGGAGCCTTCTTGCGTGGGGAAAAATCCGCATCCGTCCTCCCCGTGGGGTCACCTGGGATCTCTTCCCAGTGAGTAAGGCGAATGCTTTACATTTTCGTCTTTGCTTGTTCACAGTGAAACAAATCACACGGGCACAGTACCATCACCGTGAGCTGTCATGCAAACTGTGGTTTGATAATGACACTACGATTTTCTACTAGCTGGGGATTTTAGTATTACAGTTAGCTAAAGGGCACTACAGGATAGCTAAAGCAGCTTTAAAACACTCTGGGCCAGTCTGAGTTGGCTGTTTCAGGACAAGAAAGTGCTGAGACACCCAAGAAAGAGCTGGGCACTTTTCTGGGCCCAGTAGCTACCTTGGCACTTGCTTAATCTACTTTGTAACAATTCTGTTGCACACCCCAGGCTGATACCGTGTTTCTGTTACGTGGTGGGGATCCTGCCTTTTTCCCTCTGTCTTTCCTTGTCTTTTGTG